TTAGTGCTTCCTTGGCCTTCAAGCATCTTTAGGCTTCCTAAAGCTTCAGGTTTCCAAATCTGTAAGGCAGCCACCTTGTCACACAGGTTTTATAAGGTGAAGTTCAGGCCTCTGCATATAGTAGCTACAGCTGCAGAGTTCTTCGTTTTGCACTCTGAGCTGTAGGCCCTTCTTTTATAGTTCCCTGTGGGTGTTTGTGTTTTTTCACAGGCCTGTTAGCAATTGTTTGCTGTGTTGCCTGCCCTCTATTGGACTGCTTTTGGACATCCCATTGCTTACAGAATTAATTCCCTGTGTCCTGTGATGTACAGTCAAGAAAACAGAACTTTTGTCTTACCTGCAACATCAGTAACTTTAAGTACATCACAGAATACAGCACCCTCCCCCCTTTTCTGTGATGCACTCTTGTACTGCTTGCTAAAAAACAGGGTTGCCAGGAGTGGGAGGTGTTACACAGGGCTGTCCTTATAGGTTTGATTTGCCAGCATCTAATCACCTGGAGGTAGCTACAAAACCCATTGGTTTCAAAATTCACCCCGTGTCCTGTGATGTACTCTAAGAAACACATTTTATCATATTTTAACTATTTAGTGTTTGATGACATTAGAAAAAATGATTAAAAGGCATAATACCTGACAAGTGATACAAAATGAATTATTTGAAGTTATTTTCAGTTTCTCTTTAATTACAGAAAACTTTAACATTTTGTTACTCTAAAGCCTACATTTCATTTTCAATGATTGATATAGCACATCAAGAGAACCAGTCATTTATGGCCATATGTAGCCATCTAAATCTCTACTGTTAAATTGTTATAATAGTGCAGCCTTACCTCTTGACAGAGTGTATGAACCCTAAGCTCAAGCAGGAGAATAGTCAGCTTCCATGGTGTGTAGTAATTCACAGGATTACCAGATGAAAGTAAGGAAGAAAAAAGATAACTAATGCAGCCACATCATTTAAGGACTAGTAAGATGCGGTATATGACGTATTTTTGTTTTGTTGGTTTCAGTATACTTTATAAACGTTGCACTTAAAAAAACGTAACTGTTACTGTATATTGTAAAAGTCAGGAATTTATTTATGTGGACTTATAAAATTAAGTGATAAGCAGATTGAATTAGGTTTTCAAAATGGTAACCTTTTATTAAATATTTTAAATTGTTTTTAAATATATTTGGGCCAATTAAGACGGTTGTTGCCTCATTATCTGTTCTTTTTTTTGGTTTAGTAATGAATAATAATCTCACTTGTTATAAAGTAAGTAATAAAACTGTGCTCTATTTATGTTATGGTTGTGCAACAGGGCCTGCCCCAGCACAGGAAAATGTGAGCTTCAGAATGCCATTAACAGACTGGCAGTTACTGGTGACTGGCAATAACATCTGCAGAGCAATAAGGGACTTCAGCATGAATCACTAGTGCACAAAACTCCTAGTTAGGAATTGCTTTTAGAGGTATATTTATTGATGCATAAACCAAATGTCATACTATATGGTTAAATATGTAAAGTAGCCCCTGTGATGACAGCATTGAGATTGTATCAGTATTTAGCACTTTCATATATAGTATACCTTTTCCAGAGATTAAGCTGCACTTTGAACCATGGCAATTTTATGTAAATGCCAGCGTTGTTGTTATTTTAGTCATGCCTTTCAGCTGAAGATGATTTACTGGTGAAATGTTTAGCAGAGACCAGTGAGATAATATATATTGTAATGCACTACCTTTACGTTATATATATATATATATATATATATATGTGTATGTATGTATATAAACACATTTAGGGGTCAGGTTCAAACGTAGAGCTTGCAGAGAGGCAGTCCACACATTTAAAGGAAACTTATGGGGAGAGTGAAATACACTTATCCCCATAGTTCTAGCCGACGTGTGACACTGGAGCTGGGGGCGGGCACAGCTGGCAATCTGGCAGTGGTGTTGATCCCAGCAATATTGCCGAGATCTGACCCGACTGTAACACGGCTCTGTGCTGTCAGCATATAGCGGCAATAGCCCGCTATATGCTGAGTTTTGGGTATATGAGTATATGTCCTTCTGATTCTATTAATATTGAGCATATGTCCTTCTGTGACCGTAAAGAGAACTATAGCAAAAATGGTTGGGCCATAGTTCTCTTTTAAGGGCTTCTTGCCCACTTTTATATCTCCACAGAAGAAAAACGTGCAACACAAAACGGCAACATAACGTCCGTCCAGCTATACATTTGCACGGCGCTGAGGAGTATAGCAATTTCCTATACTCTTTAGCACCGTCTAGTTTTACAAATAAATCTGTTTATTAATCAAGTGCGGCAGATTGTGGCCAGCTATTAACTGCCAGTCTACTTCTAAAACAGCCAGATTGTAGGGAGCCAACCAGTCTACCTGTAAAAGGCAAGAATCTTGGTGACACAAACTCCATCCCGGATCATGCCCTTGCTCAGCTGAGGCTGTCTGTCACACTAATATGTATGTGTATGTATATACGGTGTATATACATACATACACACATATATATAGCCCGCAATATACTGAACTTTGGGTCACGGGAGGAGGTTAGTATACATTGAGTGGGCAGATTATTATGACCACCTCACATTTGTAGGCAAATTAGCTATAATTAGCTATAATTTCGCGCTGAAGTTGCTAGAGGGCCAGACCATTATAAATAGGGAAGCAGGTTGTTTACCACGACAGTAGAAGTGATTTTGTCTCTGAAGATATGGGTAAGCAACGCGATTTAACTGCCTTTGAACGTGGGATGATTGTTGGCGCTCCGAGCCATGGAGCGAGTATCAGCAAAACAGCAGAATTCGTTAAATGTTCAAGAGCAGTTGTTGTTAAAGTGTTTTAAAGACTGGACTGTCAGCCGAAAATCTGGGTCTGAACGTGCAAATTGTGAGCGTCAGCGACTAGTCAATGTTAGGGCAGAACTGAGAGTGGCAAGACTGGTACAAGACAACAGAAGGGCAACAGTGCAGTGTCAGATTCCTCGCATCACCTTTCAACATCTCCTGGAGTCATCTCGTGGCCCAACGAAGTACTGATCGGGAATGTCATAATAATCTGGCCACTCAGTGTATGTCCTCCCGTGACCCTAAAGAGAACTATGGGGAAAAATACTTACCCCATTGTTCTCTTATAAGTCTTTTTTTCTCTTTGGAAATTTTCCTTGGCTCTTTTTCTACCATTTGCTCTATTTTTTTTCTTTAGTCTGAGATCGATTTTTCCACTTGTGGCCACATACAGGTAGGTTGGCTCCACTCCCACCGATCTTAAATGTTTTAAACAATTTTGCAACTGTAGTCACAGGAACAAAAAGCTGCTTGGAGATGGTCTTATTGCCTTTACCTTTGACATGCTGGTCTATATTTTCTTTCTGATCTCTCAGACAACTCTCTCCTTTCCTTTCTCTTGGCCGTGTTCAGTGTGTCGCACACACAGACGCCAAACAGCAGAGAGACTACTTTTTCATTTGAATAGGCTGACTAATTACAGGACATGTCTGATACTGATTAGTGTTTTACTATTGCTTTACTCTGACATATTAAAGGCATGTAGGTATACATGAGACAATTGCTTTTACTTGCATCACGTTTCAAGAAGAATAAGGCATCTTTTTAATGAGCTATAAGGGCACCAACAAATTTGTCCATGTCTGTAATACCATTAATCATGTAAATTATTAAAGTTTAGTCCTAACTCATCTGTGTATTTCAGCTGAAGTTGATGAGAACTTGATGCACGTGCATTGTGATGGAAGTATGGTGGATGATTGCACGTAGACTCTACTAGAATATAGCTGTGAGGATTGTTTATATTTTGAAAGAAAGCGTGTGCAGAGTGATGAGTATGTTTCAATCTCTTCGCTTACTCAGTGAGACATTCCCGTTTTTCAACAGCGATTATGGAAATGTTCCTTCAAGTTGAACATGCTGAAAGGGAAAATGTAAAAATGCGTTAGTGTTCTGTGATCATAATGTATTCACAATAAGATAAGATTTTGTCTACGAATTACTCCTTGTACTTCAAAAAGGAAAAGTAAGAGAAAGGAGTTTTTCCCTGATGGCCATGGTTATGATCTAGACATATCCCAAGCATTTTCTTTTCTCTGTTATTTTGTTATGTATTTTTTTAATGGAAATTTTAAATTTTTTAGGTTACAGGGGATCTTTATTTACTTACTTTTTAAAATAAAATGTTATTGTTTTAAGGCCGGGTACACACTTGTGCGATCCGTGACTGCCCGGCAATCGTGCAGAAAACCGCACGGATTGCCATGCGGTCATGGAGTCGCACCCCTCCGCTGATCGCGAATGATCGCAAATGGTGGTGCCATTCTTTTCGAATGCCTGTGCAGTTGAACACGATCACGGCTAAAAAAGCAGGCTCGTCGCATGTGGCAAAACAAGGTACATGTACATTTTTTTCCCCAGCTATTGACGCGCTGCTATAACCCCATTGAAATCAATAGGGCAGCACCGCAACCGCTGTGTGGCACATGATCGTACGGTCCCAGCACACGCGTCACTGGATCACCCAGGTCTGCACCAGCCCTCAAGCTATATTCCAGGCAGATGGAGTAAACACTGTTACTTTTAGTGCAATCCTGTACAATAAAAAACCACTACATATATATAAGAATTTTATATCAGCGTCTTGTGATACAGCAGCAGTTATACTGGGAGAGGGAGGACCAACACTGGAGCCAGTTGAGCTCTGTTGCATGTGCTGATTGTGAACACACTGACATGAGGATATAGTGAGAAAAGGTATGTGCTCTCTGTGCTACTTCTTTATTAATGTCCATTCATCATGATGGGTATATATTCTTGACCAAGCTGCATTGCTGCTGCAGTGGAGGTTGAGGATTTTTCTGCTAGAATCCCTGTAATTCTGTTTCCTACATTGTCAACCGTTTGTTAAACTATTGCTACAAAAGATATAAAGAAAGTGTCTGTTTTCTTTACTTGAATGTTTTATCTGTTTTGTGTATAGGAGCAGATTTAAAAGAGAGAGCAAAGATGCACCCTAGTGAAGTTGGACCATTTGTATCAAGAGCAAGAGCCCTCATGAATGAATTTGGTAAGTAGACAGTTTAGTGTAGCCATCTGTATTTGGAACACAAGACTTACCAGTTCTACCAGTGTAATTGCACACATTTTCTTCTGTAAACAGTTATTTAGTCATACAGAGAACTGTTTCTTTGTGTTGATATCTGTATATTAATATGTGTAAAGTTCTGAGAACATTGTTCTAACATAATTCCTTTTTAGAGACAAACAGAGCTATAAGTCTACTAATGTGTACAATATTTCTGACAGTGTTTTAGGAAGCTCTTTGTATTTTTTTATCTGCCATTTAGACCACATCCTTAGGAAAAGAAATTAAGAATGTTGTACCATTTAACATGTTAATTGATATTAATTGCCTTTTCACAGTTATTTCTGCAATACTGATTGCTTAGATGGGATCTTGTAACACATGAGGCACTGCTTTGTTAGATAGCAATACGAGTGTTGACTTGTTTGGCAATTACAATTACAGGATTAATGATTGGAAAGACAAAACACAGGTCAGCTGTGTTGTAGATGTCAATAATATTTTACTCTGAAAACACCATGTTGACACCATAGAATGACACCAATGTTTTGTTTTCTGTTTACTTTATGCTTTTTAGTACATGTAAACCTCATATGAATTTAAAATGTAAAGCTTATCTATATTAATGTTTTCTATAAATTTTTTTGGTACCATCATCTCCTGTGGCACTGTTCTAAGTTCTAGATATACCAGGGAAGGCTATTATCAGTAATACAATGCATCAAATGTTTCCAAAGACTAGTTCATACAGTTGTTTAGCAAAACCTACCAATAACAGTATGATCTAAAGCAGTGCAACTGCCACGCTGCAGCCTTACTCCTGCCAGGCCTTAGGGCCTGTTCACATGAGTTTCAGGTGCGGATCAGCAGACTCGGTGCTATGTGTTTTGCTGCGTTTTTTGTTTTTTTGCTGGAGTGGGGCTGTCAGTATGTTAGCTGCAGTGCGTTCTTGACGCATTTTTGATGCGTTTTGCGTTCCCGGACAGTTTCCTGGCCGTACAAAATGTGACATGCAGTATTTTTCTATCGTAACCTGAACGGACTGCGCACGTGAGAACTGTAGCCCATAAAACACATAGGGATACATTGGGATGCATTTTTAGTGCAGGAGCGTACGGATTAGGTCAGCACAGAAAACGGACGTCGTGTGAACAGGCCCTTACACTGGAACTCTCCCAGCTGTGAGAATGACCGCTGACATAAATGAAACAGCCACAGTCCCACAGTTGCCGAAGTCTACTGTGTAAACACAACCCCGTAACCAATGAGAGAACATTGAAGCTGCAGCCTATCAGCAAAGTTCTGACATTGTCACATGACAGTATCAGATCTTCCTGACTAGCTGCAGTTCTAGGGTATCTGATTGGTTACACATTTAGGAAAATGTATCAAAACTGCAGCAGACAGAAATTTGAATTCATTTTCAAAGCTTAACTGAATAAACTGAAGAGAGAAGCTGGTTGGTTACTATGGGCAGCTGCTCCAGATTCTATCTGCTCCAGTTTTATAAATCCTCCCCCATTGTGTCTACACATTACACTAAACTGCAGGATGGGACTGTGGCTGTTTCATTTATTCAGTCCCGGTTCACACCTACCGTTTTGTAGCACTTTTTCTGCCATAAAAAACAAAACCCCATTCATTTCTATAGCCATGTTCACATCTGATCATTATGTCAGTTGTAGCAAAACACCCATTGCAGGAAAAAGTATGCAAGCTTCTTTTTGGCAGATTAAGCGCTTCTTGGGCCCATAGACTTCAATACAAAGAAAAATGCACGTTTGCTGCGTTTTTGCTCATTTACATGAATGTGGTTCAATCTGCTTGCAAAAACGCCAAACTTGATTTATGTGCATAAAACATGCAGCAAAAATGCATATAGAAACAAGCAAAAATGCTGTCGCCTAGGTGTGAATCAAAGATCCTGCTGAGGATGCGTCCATTTAACACGATGCTCCTCCTACCACATCCAGCTCTAAGGTCCTTGCTACAGACTGAGATAGTCCGCAGGGGAGATTCCACCTCCACTCTTCAGCACTGTTTGAGCAGGAGAGGTGGAGTTTGCAGCACTGGAGCCCAGGGATGTGATAACAGCACCCAGCAACTATACAGCACAGCAGATGTGGATATCTGCTATGCTGCATACCCACTATGTGCTGCTATCACATCCCTTGGTTCCAGTGCTGCAATTTCCACCTCTCCTTGTCACAGGTATTCAGCACATCCCAACCCCTTCAAAGAAGGTCTCCAGCACATCTCTCTCGCTGACACACACACACACACACACACACACACACAGCCGCTATACGGCAAATCTCCTCTACTCCTACTTACAACAGGTATCCATCATATCTCCATAGGCTCACTGCACATCAGTTCCCAGACAGCACACCCCCACTACTCCTGCCACAGCACATTTCTCCCACTTCCCCTCCAACAACAGCCTATGCCTTCCTGGCCCCCAGGAAAGAGGGAAAGAGGAAAAAAGACAAAGAGCAAGAAGGAGAAGAAAATGAGGTTTTAAATAGACCTAATAGTTTATGTCATTGTGTCTATTTATATTCCAGTAACTCATATTTTTGACTGATTTCTCCATTTTTAATACATTTTAAATACATATTTTGCTTTCCATACTTTTATTGTATGAATATTTATTAAAATGTTTTCGCTGTTGGGGCATGGAAGATTTTGGGAGAATTTACTGGGCCCTGGCCTCACTAAGATTGAAAACCAATGATCTAGAAGGATAGAAGAGGTGAGGAAAATGAGTAAGCTATCTATAAGGTGACAGTGTGTGCCTTGTCAGACTAAAACAATGATAAATCAGTGGTTGAAGAGAATTAAAATGGAACTCTGGGTAAGCAAACACAATTGCTATGATATCTAGTGGTTGTAGGTAGTGCCGTCATCTTTTCAAATTGTATAAAATACCTTTTTAGAAGAGTTTCTTCTGGTATCACATGCATATAAAAGGTAGGTATGGCCATGTTAGTTTGCAATGGATAAAACCTTAAAGGGAATGTTTTTGTTTTATATAGTTTTGGTTAGAGTGGGGTAAAATTAACACCCCTGTTTGGGTTGTTTACCACTATTCATTGCTTTAATCAAGAGATTTTCTGTCACTTTCTGTTCCGGTGACAATAGAATCACCAAACTGGAAGTGATGGAAAATCTGTAACTGACATAAAAAAATCTGACAAGGGTTCTAGCCTTCCCCTACTCTATTAAAGGAAAGCATTTTATTTCTGTCTTTGTTACTGTTGGAGAGTTTAGCTCACTTCCTGTCTGGTAACACATTGTCAGCAAGACAGGAAGTGAGGGAATAAATATCTCTAATAAAGTCCCAGATAGAGGTAAAAAGCTTACAGGGGTTCTGACCCTTCCCTACTCTGTCCAAAACAATCAAACAAAAACTTTTGTAAGGGCATATACTTAAAGAGAAGTTATGAGCTAAACAGTTCCACAAGGCAATAGGCAACAAATGTGGATATCTAATTTTATCATGCTAAGTAGTAAAATCCCCTCCTAGGCATGGCTTCCTGCCACATGTTTGTACAGCTTGTTTTCCCTTTGCTCATTTGATGTTGACAAGCTACTAAAGGTATTTATAACTCAGCAGAATAAAAACCACAATGGTTAAAGGAAATAAGCTCCTTTTTTGGTTTTTCATTAGCTGTGGTTTGCAGCTTGTATATCTCTGTCTGCTGTATTCTGTAGATAGCAAGTTTTGGTAGAAAGTTTTTTGTTAAACAAGTTGGGAGAGTTATGTAAGATTTACACATATACACTAATTAAACCAACTATGGCAATAGAACATAAATGTTGTTTTTTTCACAGACCAGATTTAATGGAAAGTATACATTTAAAAATATGTAAACTAAATGGGTATTGACATTTAGGTTTTGTGAGAAAAGCACTGGGAATGTAAGTTCTGCAAGAAAAGGATGTTTTGCAGGGCCGTAGCAAGGGTGGGTGCAGGTACAGGTGCTGGGGAGAAGTGGGGCGGCACAGCTCTGCACAGAGGATTGGCCACGCACAGAGCACCGCCTGCAGCTTTTCCTCTGGATGCCCGCTGCTCTCCCCCATCTGTATGCAGTGGGGATCCGAGGAGAAGTGAAGGAAGCGCTGCAGCTGGGGGGGGGGGGGGGGGGGGAGCGTTGAGGAGAGAGCCGCTCGGCCAGAATCTGACAGCCGGCGGCTCTCTCTCCTCACCGCTCGGCCATGCTGCTCTGACAGCGGCCTCCTCCCCCGCCCCCCCGCCAGCGAAAGTGCTTCACTTCTCCGCTGCATACAGGTGGGGAGAGCAGTGGGAAAAGCTGCAGCCTTTGGAATCCTCCTTTAAACTTATTGGCCATTACCATTTCCTTTGCAAAATTATTATGAATATGCTTTGTTTGGTGAGGATATGTACCTCAGTAGCTATTGTAAGCTGATATATATGAACAGAAATTGCATTTGAAAGCACAAATAAAATATTAGCCTATGTGGATTTTTTCTAAGGTGCCTTGTATATATGACTTTAAGTAGTGTATCTTTTTAAAACACACATCTTTTATTAAGCTTCATTAAAATATTTAAAATCATAAAAAAACAACTGATGTAGATTTCCGTAGTACAGTTAATATTACCTCTACCGGGGTTACAGAGAAAATTAAACATGGGTATTTCATTCAGTGTGTTTTTGAGAATTTCTAAATCGGAGGGTTTAAAGTTGTTCTGGGTTCTCAATGTGTTTTGTGGACTTCTACCGGTGAAATATGGGGTATCATGATTAAAAACAGTACTATTGGAATCAGTTGCAACTATGTCATCTCTGAGCGGGCATATCAAGTTGTGCTGGACCAGGAGGAAAACCCACAAGGGATGTGGGGGAGCATGAGACACCCCAGCCAATTAATGTGTATATAGCTGTGCCTTACTTCTTAAATCACATATCATCCACAGTGATTTAAATAGAAAGGTGAATTTTATTATAGGATGGC